AAAGACCTTATATCAAGTAATTTCCGTATTATTTGATGATGAATTAGAACATACAACGGTACCTAGAATGCTGGAAGTATCAGATCCTTTAGAATCTAAAAATCCTAAAGAAGATAATGAGACTTTTCCACCTCTTTTGCCAATACAGATAATGGTTGAACCATTGTTGGTTCGTTTCAAATACCATTTTGATTCAAAAAGACCTACCAACAGAATCGATAAGGTGAATATACACGATAATATATTCTCTTATTTAAATCCAAATTTTTCAAATTTTATTCTTTAAAAAAAAAAAATTTTAGCCCGAGTGGTATTTTAGTCATGTTATCACTACTATACGTGAACATTTACCATTCTTGACTGGAGCGGTACAATCGATCGTCGATGATGCAGGCTTTGAGAAATATCACGCAAAAGTATATTAGTCAATTAAATTGGTTTTTTGTTATTTTTAATTGTAAGTTATTTTGATTAAGTCGAGTATTTTATTATTCAAGAATGAGTTTATCCGGTGTCTGCTCGTAGCTGTCACCAGAAAATTAAATAACAGTGTTCCAAAATTATTGAATTCTCCACAAGTATTTTCGCACACTGTATTTGAAACATTGCAATTTGACCAAACTCTACGTGAATTACACATGTATACACCTTCCGGGCAAAAAGAGTGGAAAGGATGCGTTGAAGTGTTTGTTGGGAAGAAAGAATGGTTTAAGGCATGGTTAAAGGTTGAAAAGGACTGTACGTATAAAGCTTGAAATTTTTTTTGATAATATTTTTATTTAACTAAACTATATTCAAAAAAAAGTTGCGGAGGAACGTTATAATGAGATTATGCATTCGGAAGATGCGTGGGAAATCATCGATGAGGAAAATCCAGATGATGAATATAAGCCGACTAAATCAGCAGCAAAGTTAATTAACCTTTTAGAGCTTGTAACTAGTTTGTATCATTAAATACCTTTCTCTTTTCAAGTTTTAAGTTGGATGAAATATTTTAATCTTATATTGTCATTCAGATCGTTATAAATTATTGCCGATGTTTTATAATCGGATTCGTTTCCTTGTTGATATTCAAGCGGAAATATTATTGACCTATGCTAAAAGGATTAACTCTGCCGTTGACGCTTTCGAAAATTTGAGTTATTCGTTTGTAAGGGCTGTTCCAAATACAGATGGGAAATCCATTACAGGAATAGAAGGATTGAAGAGGCTATGTAGATGGCTAAATAGTGCGGGTTTCGTCAGTAGAACGATCAAAGAATGGGGTGAGGATGCGGTAAATAATTTATAATTTTCATACTATTACAAATTGCTTAATTTTATTATAATTCTATCTATGTTTTTTTTTAGTTTTTCCTTGATCTTTGGCATGAAGTTACTGTTCGTGCTGCACGTAATACAGGCGTATCACCATTACCATCTCCAACATTGTCTATCAATTCTACGGTACAGGGTCAAGGTGCCTCTTCAGCTCATGTAGACGAGGAAATTACTGTTGACGAAGGAACAGTTTTCGATGACCCAGCTGAATTATTCGATAATGTTTGCGAACGAATTCAATCATTAATAGTGAAAAATGTTTCCAGAGAGTTTTCAAATGGATTGAAAGCGTATAATAAAAAGTATATAACACTTGATTGATTTTTAATTTTTTTGTAGCAGTTTCACAAATTCAAACAATTTTTTCTTTTTTTCTTTTGCAATAGAAATAATTGGTCAAGTTCCGAGATATACGGTTATGATTCATCAGAGTCTACAACTGAACAAATACATAGATTGAATAATCAACCAAAAGATATTATATCACGCCCAACTATTGAGTTATCACCGGAGCTTTATATGCCATTATCTGATCTTGCGCATTCACTTACATTCTTATCAAATAATTTACCCGATCGTATATTTAAACATATATACAAAGACGTATCAAAGGAATTGGAAGATCATTTATGGGACCGTATCTTGATGAGAAACCAATTCTCTGAATTGGGCGGATGGCAGTTTGAAATAGATATGGAAAAAGGATTATTTACCATTGGTAAAAGATGGATTCGAAAACCGGAAAGTTATTTTAGAAGGTATGTTAACGATTGTTCTTGATTATTTAGTAGTATGTCTAATAACCTTTAATTTCCTATGTTAGGCTGAGAGATGCGTGTATTTTGCTCACTCTTCCTGCAAATCAATCTCCATTAGAAAATGAGTGCAGTAACAAAAAGCCACAACAAAAGACCTTATATCAAGTAATTTCCGTATTATTTGATGATGAATTAGAACATACAACGGTACCTAGAATGCTGGAAGAATTAGGAGTTTATCATTTAACATCCAAAGAAGCAAAAAATGTTATTGGAAGGAGAGTAGATTATTGGAAATAAATCAAAATTTAAATAATATAATATAATAAAAATTTACTAATATATTGTACAACTACCCATATTGATATATTTTTTGATATATTTTTTACTGTACATCTCTGCTATATAAAGGAATTTTTACCGTAATATCTCGCATCATTATTTCAAAGCCTATAATTCTTTTTACTAATTGCAAAAACGCGCGTGACATTTGAATTGTTCTTAATTAACTAACCATACCTTTTGTATCCACTTTTTGATTGGTCGATTCAAATTATCTACAAGAATTCGAGACAAAAGACAGTTGAATGTGCAATTGTTTAAATATATAATTTTGATATTTCTAATTTAGAATTAAAGTATCTTATCTCAAAAGATAAAAATAAAAAATATTACATTCAGAAAATACTATATTTTTTTTTTTACATTTATTGTTTTATAAAATACAGAAATAGTTATCGTTATAAAAACTTAAATGATACAAATATATAATTAATTTAAAATTAAAATTCATAGGTTTCACCTGGATAGGGATTCTTTGGCTGATGATCGTGAGGGGTAATGGGTACAGCTACTAACGTAGTATCATCAACTGAAATAAATGATTTGTTTGGAAATACAAAATGTCCTGAATTTGGACGAGAAGAATATGACTTTCTAGAATTAGTTCTAGAAATCGGTGAGACGGGGGATGATTCTGTTGATCCTGAATCCGATATTCTGTCTTCATAACCGCCATCTGGATCATTACAATTTTCTGATTCACGAGTCTTTCTTCTTGAGCGGCTTATTGAACCTGAAGGTGAACTAGCTCCACGTGATTGTCGTCGAAATCCTCGACGGCGACCTAATCCAGTTGTTCCATGATTAGTTGACAACGAGTCCTCTTTGCTGTAACCTGAACCTGCTATAGGACTATTTTCTATGAAATCTGGTTCCTTTATAGCATCAATTGGAGACATTAAGTATGTATTCTCGATAGGAAGGTTAGTTGATACCCCAGTGGTTGGTTCCGAACCATTTTGAATAATACCATTTGGATATTCATTTTCTTTCACTGAAAAAATAGTATATATTATTAATTATTAATTAAGAATTCAATAATTAGGTATAAATATAGTACCTTGAGAGTCCTTAATATATTTATTCATAGATGGTGAAGTATTTATTGTAATGTTGCTACGACTGGAACGATTATTAGAAATAGATGAGCGGTTTGACTTGGTAGATTTATTAGACTGCAAAGAATCACGGCTTATAGAACGTCTCATCACTTCGCCTATTGAGCTTGATGTAAGATTTAAATTCTTAAATATCTCGTCATAGTAAATAATTAGGTCCTTTAATAACTTGGTTGGATGCTTGTCATCAAGATAAATTGTAGATTTATTTGATGGCCTTAATAAAATAAACCCATATAGTTGAGAAATAGTTGTGATAAACCTATCGTCAGGTTCCACAGACAAGGCTAACCTAATAATATTTTATTTTAAAAGGTTATAATGTAACTTAATTTATAATTAAAATATATATAAATTAAAACTTACTGATGCAAATGAGATATGAATGCATTCAAAGTTCGATAATTTACATCGTTAAGAGATGTAATTAGCAAATTGGCCGCGGAGGAAAGACGCGTTTTATCGTCTTGATCATCAGAACCTTATATACAATTAATAGGTAAGTTATACGGTTTTACATTAACTAAGATTTGCAAGACAAATGATAACTCACTAATTGAATATAACATCTTCACTGGTTCATAAAGTTCAAAGGTGAGCAAACATTCAGGTAATTCCAAGAAATACAATTTCAGGACTCCTGCAACAACAGATAAATCATGTTCTCTCAATAGTTTTAACGCAACTTTTCCACCTAAGAAAATTACATAATATTTTTTTTTCTTTAGTATTATATTTTACATTTAAATTTGTATATATTATAACTTACCATCGTTGATTTTATCACGAAGTGCATGAATTGACGTCAAAGGAACATTTGTTGTCCACACGAGTCTTTTATCTTTAAATTAATTAATTTTAAATTAATTGTAATGTATACAAGAACAATAAATATATACTAAATCATTTACCAGCATCATTCCATTTAGAAAATCCTTTGGTTATGCAACTAAGACACTTTGTTACAATCTGTGGAATATACTTTAAATCATGCTTAGCCTTCTCTTCTAGTGGGACACCAAACGTCTGATCTAAATTTGAACGAAAAAAATTTAAATGATTATAAATCATTTAAGGAAGAAAAAAAGATAATATATTACCATTTGCACTTCCGTTGTACTGATTCTTATATAAAATGACCTGTGGAATGAATGGACCAGTACGATATCTTTCAATCATGAATTGAATATCGTTTTCTGGTTTTAAAGCCTCATGATAAATAAGCAATCTCTCTGACATATCCTTAAAGGTAGAAATAATGCTACCAAATGTCGCGGCGTAGTTCAGGAAAGCTAATTTAATAATAGGGATCTAATAAGCCGAACTGATTATTTCGAAAGTTGTTGACTCATTTTATAATCGCCTTTCAAATATTAAGTTGATTCACCAAATTACCTGTTTTCGAAGCCTTAATGCGATCCAATTCACTTTTTTCCATGAAATTCAAATGATCGACCTGTAAATTTACATAAGATAAATAGAAAATTTAAATAAAATTAACTTTTACGGAATTTAAAAAGCATTCCATTCTTCCCTTAGTCAACCCATAACGTACCATACATTCTTCAAGATATTGACGCGTTTTATCAAGTCTTCTAACTGCATGTCTATAAGCCTCATCAGCTTCATTAGCCTCCTTACGAGCACGCTTTTCAATTGGCTGACTAGGTGTAATAGCGATAGTCGAAACCAAATCACCCCAACTTTTTGACAAAGTAATAGGTTCTTCAGTAGCTCTGAGATCAAAAGCTTTTATCTTCCATTGAAAGTAAGAGGAAGGACTACCAGTAAATTTATTTCCGTATGCACCGATAAGACGTAAAAATCCTTGATCAGCCAATTCTTGACCAATAATTTCAGCTTCCTTCAAAGTACGTGCATTAGGGTGATTTTCTTGTAACCATTTGACAATATCCTCGCCACTGTATACATCATTATATACTCCTAATATTGGAAATTTTACTTCTCGAGAAGAAATTTCATCGCGCATTCGTGAAAGAAATTTCATAAGTTCATCCTCTGTAAAGGATTGTTGACCGAGAACAACAACTAATAATTGGAAACTATTTTTCACTTTTCCTTTCTCTAAAGATTTTTGAGCTAATGCTTCGTTGGCAGCTCTTTCCTCTGCTTCATCAGCTATTTTACATTTATTCACATAATTACTACGTAATTTTTCTACGTCAGCAACTAACCGTTCATAAATTTTCAAATATCCAGTTAATTCTTCTCTACTTGATTTAAGACGTTTAGAATGCCCCTCTTTAGATTTAAGTAATGGTTGTAATACAATTTCAGCTAAATTGCCAGCTAGACGTAAATGTGCTTGCCCTAGATTACCACACTCATTCTTGACTGTTTCAAATGATTTTCGTAGAGAAGCCCCGTCATCGCGCAAGAATCCGTCTTTTCTACAAGGCTTGGAGAGATCACATAATTTTTTACCATATAATTCCTCAATTGATATCCTTTCCTAGGTTTTTAACCATCAGTTAAATAAATGTAGTATCATTTTTCAAAAGAACAGAAAAATAAGCTGCGTTAGAAAATTTTTTTTGATGAATTGCAAACAAAAAATTTCGAACCTTTACAAAAATTTTACGGGTGCCATAATGCTAACCCTTATAAATGCAACGATTTCCTCATTTTCGATTCTTCCTTGTTCAAGCTTGTCGTATAAAACTGTGATTCCATTAGTATAATTATTTGGAGTCCAAAAGGAGTTTTCAAAGCGAAGTTGAGCAACCATTTTATTATAACAAAGAACAAATGGATCCTCATTAAATTTAATTTTAATTAAATTTTATTGGCAACTATTTAACTTAATTTGGTAAACTTCAGGAAGATTAAACTAAATCTTGCAGAGTGCAGAATAATGAATAATGAAATCTATAAATAGGAAACCTCATTGTTATGTAATGTTCACGTGATAATATTGATTTAGTCTTCTTGTATATTAGTTCAGAATATATTAGTAGAAATTCCAAAAATGATTTATTAATGTTAAAATAAATTAAATAAATAGTTATACTAGATTATTTTTTTTTATACAAAGCACGTCTTACAACTTTAACGATTACATTTGCATCTGGATAAGTCAAATCTTCTAAATTTGCGGCATATGGAGTTGGAACATCTGATATAATAAATAAATAATTAGATAAAACATAAATCTACAAATTAATTATTTTCTTTAAACTTACCAGCACAAGTCACCCTTTCTACTGGAGCATCCAGATAATCAAATGCTTCCGTTTCCATCACAATAGCACATATTTCACTACCAACACCAAATTGGGGATATCCTGATTCGACAGTCACCAAATGGTTAGTTTTCTTCAATGAATTAACAATTGTATTGATATCAAGTGGTCTAATTGAGCGCAAATTTATGACCTCGGCAGAAATCCCTTCTTCGCTATACAATTTATCAGCTGCCTCTAAACAAAAGTTTACCGGCCTTGAATGTGCTACGATCGTTACATCTTTGCCTTCACGCACTATTTTTGCTTTTCCGATCGGCAGTACAAAATCCGGTGACATCACTTCTTGAGATACTGGATAAGAAACTCCATATTGAAGTTCGTTCTCCAACACAACTACAGGATTGGGATCTCTCACTGCAGCCTTTAAAGCGATAAATTTGTTTTGATTTAGTCAATTTTACATAAAATTTCAATTCAATTCAAAATATATAAGTGAATACCTTCAATAAACCCTTCGCATCCTCACTATCCCATGGGGAAACCACCTTTAATCCAGGAATAGCGCCATACCATGCTGAATAATCTTGTGAATGTTGAGCGGCAACACCCGCAGCCGAACCATTTGGTCCACGAAAAACTATAGGACATTGTACAACTCCACCGGACATGTATAATATTTTTGCTGCAGAATTAATTACATGATCAATTGCCTTCATAATTGAAAAAAATATGGCAGTAAATTAGTTATCTAGGATAATATAATATGTATAAAATATAATTTAACTGACTTGCATGGAAAAATTAAATGTCATAAATTCGCAAATTGGTCTCAATCCAGATAATGCCGCACCGACAGCTAAACCAGCAAAACCAGCTTCCGTGATTGGTGTATCAATCACTCTTTTCGGGCCAAACTTATCTAGTAAGCCTTTTGATACCTAATATAAAACTTTTAAACAATGTAATTTTAAAGGGATTATAAATTGAGTTTAATTATCACATACCTTATATGCACCATTATATTGGGCAACTTCCTCGCCAAGTAAGAAGACACGATCATCACGAATAAATTCCTCTTCAAGCGCGATATTTAAGGCATCTCTTACAGTCATCTATAAATAATAATAACCATCGAAACTATATCACTGTTTGCACGAATATTTAAGTAGATAATAATATGTTATTAAGTCACGTCCGAGCTAACAATTTATTTAAGCAAAGCTGTTCGGAAAAAAAACGCTTGATATCCTTAAAAAATATGTTCGCTTTTACAAATTTCGCTCAATCGTTTGTTGTAATTAATAACCAAATTTTAACCATTAAAAAACCATATTTAAATAAGCTTACCGTAGTCTCACTTGGTGTAGCAAGACATCGTTTTTGCAAAAATAAAGAACTAATGCAAGGTGTGATATGTCTTTTCCCTTCCTGCTTAAAAGAGTGAATTGCGGAAATATTGATAAATTTTCTCAATATTGCTCTATTCATAATGTTACAAGTATGCAAGTAAATAAACATTTAATTTACAAATATTTTGCAATTTATGCAAATCATCAGATGAATTTCTTTTTCCGGCCAACATGAGATAATTATTCAAATTTATAATATGGAAAAAATAAAAATGATCTGAACATATTTGGACTAAAAAATCATGATATAAAAATAAAAATTGTTTTTTTTCCGGCAATTTTCCCTTTTCTATTGACAAAAAATTTAAATTAAAAAATTTTATAATTCAGTATTTTAGTATTATAATATTTTATAATTAATTAATTTATTTAATATATAATAGAATTTCATAAGTAAGATTTTTGATTACAAATTAGCATGAAATCAAATCTACACTATATAACAAACTTACCTGAAATCTTATTATTCTTTAACCCTAATTTAAATCGAATTAATTCACTAAAAATTTCTACCTGTGAATCTTATAAAAAGCTTTACATTTTCTTACCTATCATCTATGCTCAATGAAATTACATTAGTTCCCTTAAATATGAGAAAACATTTATTACCTATTTTTACATTGCTCTTTAGGATGTTTTTCTAACTTTAATCCCTATATTGAGTATAGAAGTTTAACTAAAACTATAGACTATTTCTGTAATATCTTAATTCATGCTTTATATTTTAGAATCTTAGGAGTCTTCTTAAAATAAATTATGATAATCTTGATAATCTTGATAATAGTCGATACATAACACTCATGATCTGATCCTCAAATAAACTGCCACTTGGTTGATTCAAAACAATCCCTATCTATATTCTTTTGTTAATATGATATTATATTGTGAATAACAAATTCAATCTGACTATTTCTCTAAAGCTAGTCATATACCAATTATTCTAATGTATCTCTCAATTTTTACATACAATATAAATTTAGAACCTTTATTTTTCCTTGTTTTATTTACTGATAAAAAGAACATTTTCATAACGTCTTAGATTAATCTAACCTAAATAATAAAACTCATGCTGAAACTTATAGCAAATATATAAAATTACATTTAATAAACTATAACCCAAAATAAAGTTTTCACCTTTATTAACTATCTTGTTTATATTTACAACTTGAAAATCTACAACACTATAAAATATTCAAAGATTATTATGATAAACTAATATAATTTCAAATAATAATACTTTACTAATAACGTAAACTTACTCTAACTAAATAATTACTCATTATATAACATAATTAATGAAACTATTATAACTCTTATACCTATTATTATATGAATCGGTAACACTTATTTCTATTAAAACAATTCTATTTAAATCTTATGATAAATAAGCTTAGTCTACCAAGCTTATTTATAACATTAAGTATAATTAAAAGTTATTAAACTTATCTTTAAAACAAATTTGCTAATAGTGATAATCATAATACTTTATCAATAAATAGACTATTTTACTATACAAATTACTTTGTTTATAGATTTCAATCTTTGAAAAATAATTTTACAAATAACTGAAACTTACAAATTTTGATGATATTATTAACTTCTTTAACTAAGTAAAATTCTAAAACTAAGGTTGCTTATACTCATAACTACTTTTAAACATCTAACTCAATTGAAACTATGATCTCTAATGATACGATTTGTTCAATTATGCTAAATTCTTTATATAAATCAGAACTTTACATTATTATTATAGTAAATTAAATATATATCTATAATTAAAAGTATCAAAAATCTACCCTTTCAGGTCAAACATGTTAAAAAGAATTTTTACGCTTTTTAAGTAAAATTATTTACTATAAAATTGGTAATTGCTATTATATATATAATATCAAATGAAATAGATTCTTAGATTATCTCTTATTATCCTTTAACTTTCCTACCTATATGAATGTTCAATATATTATATTACTAATAAAGAATTCACCAGATACATATCAAAATATATTGTTAAAAAAAACTATTTCATATTTTTAACATTTATAAAAATAATTTATTAAAAAACATGTTATAATAAGAAAATTAGGATCTATAGAATTTATATTTTTTCTTTTCAGTTATACTATATATAACTCTTTTGCAATCATAAAATATCTATTACTGATTCTTTTACCATAAAACTCATATAATCCTTTCAGTTTATTTAATAAAAAAATAATGAAAATTCTTTTTATAATAATACCATAATAAAATAAATACTATACTATTATTCTTTTAAATTTAACAATCTTATCTATTCTAAGTATTTAAAAATACTCAATTTCTCCATCATAACCTATTACATTACAACAGATTTTTTGAGACAATCTATCTAATTTCATTATCAAACTTCAAAAGAAATAATAATTAAATATTAATTTCTTAACATTAAAGATAGAAAAATATACTTTTACTAATAATCACTATTAAACATTCCTTTAAGAAATGAAAATGATTATAAAAATAATCTAAATAATACATACTGTAAAAAATTCCTAATATTATTTTTAGATTTTCTAATCAACCTATAAAATAGAACCATAAATCAACATCAATTACAAATCATCTAATTAAATAACTAATTTACAAAAATGTTAAATAAATTACTTTAATCTTTAAGATAACAATTTTCTATAAATATTTATCACATTATATAAATCCAAATAGAAAATATTAAAATACTTTTACATATTTTTCCTAAAATAATAATGCTTAAATTATTATAAGATCAATACCATATTTTATCAACTATTTTTACATATATAAAACTAAATAATAGTAAAAAATAGTTATATTACTTTATAACATAGTTGACATTTGGCTACGATCAAGCATAATTATTTGGCTGATTAGCCAAAATCAGTGGTCAAATCGCTAATCAGCCAAATTAGCCAAATGTCACATGACTTTGTTAATTTTGATCATGGTTTATTTGCAAATAGCAATTTATTGAATTTACTATAAAATTGCAAAAAAACTTGATGTCTTCAACATTCAAGATGTTTAAATTTCTTGCAAAATAGCAAAAAATTGACGTCTCTGATGTTCAAAATATTTAAAATTGCAAAAATTGATGCCTCTGATGTTCAGAATGTTAAAATAGAACATTCTGAATGTTAAAAGTATCAATTTTTGCAATTTTTAATGTCCTGAACATCAGAGACGTCAAATTTATTTTGCAATTAATCAATTATATTTTTGTTTTATTTGTAAGCTATTGTATAAAAAAATTTTTTTGACTAGTCAAACTTAAATAAAATTTGGTCATTTTGATCACAACTAAATGGTTAAACAGTTATGGTCAAACACTGGCCAAATAGCCAAATGCTAACACTGCTTTATAATCAGCTTAGCAGAAATTGGTAAATCCTATATTATTAATATGATTATAGATATATTCAATATATGATCTTTCTCTTATCTTTTACTAATTCCTATAGAAAATAATAGCATAGAATATTAAAGGAAAAACTATTCATTTAGCATTATAGATTACAATTAACTTATGCTAGATTTTATATATAAATTTATACAGATAAAGATCTAATTATTTTCTCAAAAGATTTATATCATTATTATTAACGAAATATTTATGATTTCTGAAAAACTCCTTGACTTATTTTTAATATTTTTATAAACCCTCATAATAATACTATCCTTTTTAGTAGAATAAATATTATTCTTATTAGAGACTTCACTTAACTTCCTTCAATTTATTGATCAAAATATATTTTGCATAGTTATTTAATTACTATTTTATTCACTACAGTCAACTCTTGATATAGCGAACTTTTGATATAACGAATTTTTTGAACAAATATAATAAAAATACTCTTGTTAT